CTGGATTAAAGCAAGGGGCTGGTTGGCACCGCTGGATTCGGGGCTCGTTTAGCTGGGTGCAGTCGCTCGCTTGGGGTGGGATTTGGGGACGCGGCGGGGGACCGTGACCCGGGGAGACCCCGCGATGGTTTCCATGCGGCGGTGGGCAAGGTGGAGCAGGGTGGATTACAGGTGAGGCAGGAGAGACCGCGGGCTGCGCCGCAAGGACGCGTCGGATTTACTCGCCGCTCAGCTCCGGCCGTCTCAGTGCCGGGTTTTGTCCTGCGTTTTAAAAGCAGGGCTTAAGCCCCCTCGATGGGCAGGGAAAAATCGGCAGGTCGCGGTGCAACCCAGGGCAGGACCTGTCCCCGCTCGGGAGCCCTCGTTTGGAGGGTGCCTGGGGTCTGCGGGCGGAGGAGGAAAAGCTCAGCCTTGCGAACCGAGGGCAAGGAGCCGCGTCAGAGCCTGGTTTCTAAAGCCGGGCTCTCCCCTCGGCCGTCCTCGCTGGCCTGCAATTGTTCCTTCTGCTTTTCTTTTCTTTGGCCGCTTCTGCTTTTGCCGAGAGGTGTTTGCTACGCACCCAGAGACGGTACCAAACCCAAAAAAGGGAGAGGAAGAGGAACGAGCTAAATAAAGCGCTTGTTTGCAAAGTGACTGGGGTAACTTCTTTCCAAAGAGCTGGGCCAAATTATGATCTCAGATAACCAGAATCGAGCCGAGGTCGCTCCGCTGAAGCGAGCAGGACGGGCGGGGGGGGGCTCAGCCTCGCCGCGTGGGGAATGAGTCAGATTTGGACTAACCAAGGCCCTGCTTTGGGCTGTAATTTTGTTAAGACCAGTGGGTGTAGCAACTGCCTCCGTTTGGGGGGGAAAAAAAAATGCAAGAAACAATTCGGTTCGTTCATGATACCAGAGCTGAAAAATAGCATCCTGCACCCAAAATAGACCTAAATCCCTGCCCCAGGGGCAGAGGCCAGGCCCTGGCCCCCCTCGTGCAGCCGTCAGCATGCGAAGGAACAGCAGAGGGGCCAGCGGGGCGGAGAGCCGAGCAGGTCCGCGGGTGCTTTCCAAACAACCGAGGACCCGCAAAAAGCCTTGGGCAGGGCGAGAGATTTGGGAAAGGAGCGTGCAATGGCCCTCGTTGGGGTGTCGTGTTGCTGTGCTGGTTTCTGTGCTGTTTCTGAGCTAAGCTTTGCTAAGCGCTCGGACCGACGGGCAGGTCGAGGGGGCAGCGCGCTGGGGCCGCCGGCCGTTCCCGGCGGGGACGTCTGTTTTCTGGGCGAAGCCGGGATGGCCGCGTCCTCCGCCGCCGCGGACAGACGGCCGCTTGTCTTGGGTTTCCTTCGAGATGAGCCTCCTCAATCCCTGGAGATGGACCTTGGTGGGG